ACTTGGAAATGTGCTTCGCGCCACAACGGCGTGCACTTTTTCGACATCTCAACTTCCAAAAGTAGTCCGAACCTGGTGTGTTTTGTGCATTTTGACGTACATTCTGACTTGGAAATGTGCTTCGCGCCACAACGGCGTGCACTTTTTCGACATCTCAACTTCCAAAAGTGGTCCGAACCTGGTGTGTTTTGTGCATTTTCACGTACATTCTGACTTCGAAATGTGCTTCGCGCCACAACGGCGTGCACTTTTTCGACATCCCAACTTCCAAAAGTGGTCCGAGAATGGTGTGTTTTGTACATTTTGACTTGGACATGTGCTTCGTGCCACAACGGCGTGCACTTTTTCGACATCTCAACTTCCAAAAGTAGTCCGAACCTGGTGTGTTTTGTGCATTTTGACGTACATTCTGACTTGGAAATGTGCTTCGCACCACAACGGCGTGCACTTTTTCGACATCTCAACTTCCAAAAGTGGTCCGAGAATGGTGTGTTTTGTGCATTTTGACGTACATTCTGACTTCGAAATGTGCTTCGCGCCACAACGGCGTGCACTTTTTCGACATCTCAACTTCCAAAAGTGGTCCGAACGTGGTGTGTTTTGTACATTTTGACTTGGAAATGTGCTTCGCGCCACAACGGCGTGCAATTTTTCATCTCTCCTCTGGCCAGCTGGCTCCGCTCCCGCCGCTTTAGCGAGCCTACTTTTCGACCCTCCGGAGCCACAAATCATTGGAAATATAGGAAAAACACAGTGAATCGCGACTTTCCTACCTTTTCGTGTATTCCTTCGAACATACGTGTGTGCATTCGGGTTCGTGGGCTGCATCTTGTTTTCATTCAGTTGAGGCACATTAGGAACCAGTTGCAACTATGTTTATATTGGTGATGGACGAATCTGTTGGTTATATTGAGACAATTTTGACCCATAACCCTGGTTAAGTAGCCAGTTGCGACCACACTCGCCGACCTCATTGGCTGTGATAGTTAGATGCAAGGAACCATTGACTGCTCCCAATCACCACACATTTCAGTTGTTTATTTCTTTGAAACAGGTATGCGGGATGTTCATCACCAAAAATGGAAGTTAAACCGAAAAATGTGGGTTTCATTCTGTTTGACGTATCAAGAGTTGGATTTGCGCCACCAAACAAGGGCTTGATTCATAAACGTAGGAACTTCAGAGACGTCACCCACCACAATGGGTACGTGAAACCGTATAGATGATATGAATCAGGTAGCAAAAATAGGGCAGTCAAAACTATGGAATGAGGACGTCTTTCTCAATAGGGGCCTTTGGATCTGGCGGATCTGGCGATTTGCATCAACGCCAGACTTTAGAATTCAGAGCTCGCGAAGATATCAAGGATATCCTACAAGTTCCACTAGCATGTAGCTATTACCTACTGTTTAGATATGTTAAGATACACCATAGACAAGAAACCATACCTGCTGGTGATATGTAATATATCATATACAATACACGTATAATTGGCTCAACTACAGCATTGTTCAGTCAGAGTACCGACTCAACCATAGCTTCACTGGCCTGGCCGACTTCACCGTAGATTTAGTCCCAAAGATTTGGCAAAAACTGGGGCTATTGCCACAGATGCTATGGATAAAACCCTGTTCACACCGGTCACAGCATCGTGCAGGAACCAGTAGCACAAGGCGGGAGAGATCGCCCTCCAAGCTGGCACAGCTGGAAGATGATCAACGATTGGAGTTGAGACTACCCTAGCATCCATGTGACCATCAATTTTCAGAACCAGAAATGGTGGGATATCAAAAATCATCTCCAAATGAGGCCATGGGACTGTCTTTCCTTTTTGATCTATAGTCTGATTGGGGGTTGAAATCACATCCGAAAAGGCATGGTAGCGGCCTTGATATACCATCCCAAACAATAAACAAGGTCTGGTTTTTGCTCACGCCGGGGATAGCGGCACGGCTCTGGCCATGGGTCTAGGTAAATCACTGGCGGTAAACGCAGATCTAATTCTATCTTTCAACCCGAGCCTAGTCAAAAATAGACACATACCATACATAATGTCAACCCTGGATTAGTCAACCCCTAGGCTGTTTAATTGGGCCGGTACCATTTGAGTATCAAATCATAGCTGTTGGGGGAATACCACCCTAGTTAATTGATAAATGGTTTATTAATCAAGGGTTGACATTATACCCATCTATTACATCTGAAACTGACAGCTTGTAGTGGGGCTACCCGCTGGACCGATTTCTGGGTCCTACGCGGATGCAGGTGAGGCTGACTTCAAGTCACAAAGGGGGCCATCCGCATCCCCGATTTCGGACAGCGGTTGGGAAACCTAGTGCTGGCCGGCGATCCACAGAATTTTAGAGATAAACATGGATAACCAAAGGCATTCCATGGGGTATTTCGCCACTGCAACTTGTTACATACACACACACACACACGTAGTACATACATACAAACAGACATACATACATACATCCATGCATGCATGCATGCATGCATACATTACATTGAATTACATCAGACTACATTAGATTACATTAGACTACATTAGACTACATTAGACTACATTAGATTACATTAGATTACATTAGGTTACATTAGGTTACATTAGATTACATTAGATTACATTAGGTTACATTAGATTACATTAGATTACATTAGATTACATTAGATTATATTACATTCATTCATACATACCATACCATACCATGCCATGCCATGCCATACCATACCATACCATACATAACATACAAAACATACATAACATACGTAACATACATAACATACACTACATACATAACATACATATATTACATTACATTACATTACATTAAATTACATTAAATTACATTAAATTACAATAAATTACATTAAAATACATTAAAGTACATTAAGTTACATTAAATTACATTAAATTACATTAAATTACATTAAATTACATTAAATTACAATACAATACACTACATACATGCAGACATAACATACATAACATGCATAACATACATAGCATACATAGCATACATAACATACATAACACACATAACATACATAACACACATAACATACATAACATACATAACATACATAACATACATAACATACACAACATACATAACATACATAACATACATAACATACATACCATACATACCATACATACCAAACATACCATGCATACCATACATACCACACATGCCATACATGCCATACATACGATACATGCATCCAATCCATACCATACCATACCAGACCAGACCAGACCACAGACAGACAGACAGAGACAGACAGACAGACAGGCAGGCAGGCAGGCAGACAGACAGACACACAAACAGACAGACATACATGCATGCATGCATCCATCCATCCATACATACATCCATCCATCCATACCATACATACCATACATACCAGACATACCATACATACCATACATACCATACATACCATACATACATCCATACGTACATCCATACATACATCCATACATCCATACATACATCCATACATACATCCATACATACCATACATACCATACATACCATACATAACATACATAACATACATAACATACATACCACACATTAAATACATAACATACATAACATACATAGCATACATTACATTACATTACATTAAATTACATTAAATTACATTAAACTACATTAAATTACATTAGACTACATTAAACTACATTAAATTACGTTCATGTGCGCAGATGACCCTGATTTGTGTGCGCAGATGACCCGCCAACCGTCTTATCAGTTGTCGCTTAGAAAGTTGATCCCATTTTTCCCAGGATTGTTCCATCTTGATTTCCCCTGAGGATCGATGTATCATGAGGCATTTGCGATATGGTGCTTCCTTAGGGTTCATCTTCTCCGGGGGGCCCAGTGTTCTGTCAGTACCCCTACATGCAATCACTCTGGCTATGTGTTTGTCACGAAAGAGGTCTTGCAAGAGATGAATGATGTTGGAACTGAGAATTTCCGTCTTTCCAACTCGGGGCAGGATCTTGTCGATGTTGGACATTACCTGTTGGAAGCTCTCCAAGGGCAAAGCAGCGGTTTGCTTACCTGCAAGTCTTCGGCGCTTAATTTCATGTTCTATTTGGACTTCCGGCGAAATCAGCTCGGAGCGGGCAAAATTGGACGGTTTCCTGACTCGGATCTGGCCGGTCAGGGCATATTCATCCCCTTGCACAGAGGAATCCAGGTGCACTCACGGACACAGCATGGGGACTGAATCGAGTCGCCCCAAGATCTTGGCCATTGTTCGGGAAAATTTTCTGGGGTAAATGGCAGTGTATTCAGTTCTGAGTATGGGACCATCTTTGGTTATGGTGGTACCTTCAGTTGGTTGGTGGTTATGTTGATGATTGCAAATTTGGCCATGGAGTGTCTGATACAGCTTTTGATGGGTGGTGAGAATGACCATTCCCTTTTTCATCATCATCCCATTTAAGGGGCGCTTGAGGTTTCCTGCCCTACACATATCAACCTGACATGCTTTGGTATAGGAGTGAACGTCGGCCAAACCTGGATGGGTGCATCAGCGATCGTGCAGGCTGCTCCCAAAGGAACTCACGGTTGTTCTGAATTTGATGGCGAAACAGCACGATACATAAGGCAATTTGGTACAACAGTTGATATCGTTTTTCTGCATATGCCTCTCGGTTGTCTAGGGACCTGGATTCATTTAAACGAGACCATGAGGACCACGGGCCGCAGTCCGGGCTTACCCACACGTTGTGGGGTTGGTGTCGGATCATCATTGCAAAGTGAATCCAAACCGCAGGGCTTGATGTCCTAGACATTGCATCTGATGGGTCAGGGGTGATCTGGAACTGCAGAACACTTCCAACAAACTGATGGGCTTTCCCATGGGCCTGGTCATCTTGGAGGCTTCATGCAATTCAGTTTCGAATTGTTTGATGAGCTTGCGCGAACGAACGAGTTCATCTTGCATGACTGTGTTTATGGTGTCTTCCCAGTCCTCTTTCACTCTCTGTGCTGTCTGAGGGCAGTGCATCCGGCATGGTCTGGTGGACTCCGCTCGCTGTCTCCAAGTGACGGATCACCCGAGTCAAGGCATTCTCCATGTTGAGCATCCTCTGTTGCATCGCAGTGATCATCTCGGTGTTCCCAGATGTCATAGTCTCGGAGGCATACGTCTCGGGTTCGACTGCCCATTCTCCTTCCTGCAAGTCCGGAAGGTGATAGGAACTTGGGCGGCCTGATCTCACCTTGGCCTTGGCGGCCACCATGCTTGGCTTTTGCAGACGTGACATTCATCGGATTGCTGTCTTGGGGAATCACTGGAATTGGCATCTGCTGTGACTCGTGCTGGGCTACCTTCAGCTCCACAAAGCGAAGGAAGGGACGGTGCTCCAGTTTGGTGCTTGCACCGCAACGATTCACCATGAAACTCACCCATTCCTGATCCTTCCGTGCTTCCGAGAACAGATGGCCGGCATGCTTCTGGCCGAATGTCATGGTCTCGTGGGCTAGTGCTTCCAAGGTCAGGTGGCTCAGGTCGGCCACCTCCACATCGATCGGAGTCTGCATTTCACGCAACCTCTGGCTGAGGCTCGACATGTCGGTTGGTCGGACACGGCACAGTGGATTCACCTTGGTGTCGATCTTGAGCCAGGTTTTTTATTGACTGAGTCGGCTGAACTCTGGCGGAGAGGTTCACCTCTGTCATGATGACTCATTCCGCGCCGGTGATTGTTGCACTGTCGGGTGAAAGTTGATTCATTCTTTGATCGGCATTTTGATTATTTGATGGTTTGTTGTTTTGGCGTTTTGGCGTTTTGGCGTTTGTGTGATTTTCGAAAGTTGGTTTCTGGCTGACTTCACCTGTTTTCCTGCTGTCTTCGGTCACGAAAGTCTCAGTGGGTCTGTCGCGAGACTTCTGGCTGATCTGGAAAAATTGGCAAGCTTGGGACAACTCATTTATGTCAAGCATGAACAATCCTCTGGGTGATAGCTTGAATTTCGCAGGTGTCCCAAGCATCGGACTTCGTAGCACTTGATCGTGGCAGTCAATGCTCGCTTGCAGGGCTCTCATTAGAGCGTTACTGAACAAAAATGGGGTACCACCTTCTACTATGGCCACTTTCAGCTGCAGTGATCCTAATGGGATGACTAAGGCCTGGCTGCTGGTCAAAGTTCTTTGGTTCCCAAAGCGGAAGGTGATTTGGCACGGGCATCGACGGAGCTGCTTCTTGAGAGCAGGGTCCAAGTGCGCTATCAAGCTGGGCAAATGATCCAAGATTCCAGCTGCACCATGATCCAAAAAAACACACTGTCTTCACAAGTGCTGGACTGTTGAGACATGGTCCTATTGGCAACTGGCACACATGCAACATGGTTCCTGGACTGTCTGTGGGACATCGGATGTTCCCTGGCAAAATGGCTGCGGCGATCAGGGTTGTCACTCTCAGTGGTGTGGGTCTTAGTCCTGGGCAATCGGCTTTGCAGTCGCTGTCGAGCAGTCATGGGAGGTTCCATATCTTTATTACTCTTAGACTCCTTACGGACTCTATCCCCATAATAATAGTACATGGCATCCCCGAGTCTTTCGCGATTGCTTCTTTCCCCACTATGATTGCCCATTATTCCCAACACATGTGCTGTGGCTAGCCATGGTTCCTCATCAATGGGACACTGAGTCATCACGTTGGGCTCGCTGGAATCTGCAGGAATTCCAGGATGGCTGGAATCAGCTTCACTGGCGATCAGCGTTGTGGTTGGCATAGAGCTTTGGGTGCTGGCTCCCTGGTTGGAAGCACTTCCAGAACCACCTTTGAAAGGACACTCGGCCTTCCAATGTCCCTTGCGGCCACATGCACGGCAAGTCGACTGTAGGATTCGTTCTTGAAGAGCGCGTTCCGGTCTGAATCCCTTCTGTCCTCCCTTGCTCTGATTCTTGCCTCCATATCCCTTTCCTTTGAAACCACCTCCTCGGGATGTCGGGAAGAATCCCCGATTCCAGGACTTTTCAGACAATCTACGCCTGGCATCTTGGTATGCAGTGAATGCTTGGGCCAACTCTGTGTCCTCTTGGATCAATTCCGAGGCCGAGGATTCGAAATCTGCTACGAGCGCTGCGACATCATCCTCACCCTCAGCTATCATCGCCTCAATGTATTTCTCCTCCGTCATGTCCTCCGAGAGAAAGTTCTCGGCAGGCTCTTGAGCCTCTTCCACAGTCAGTGCAATCTGATCGTAGACCTTGTCTTTCATCTTCTTCTGACCTGTGACGTCCATGAAGAAACTGGCACCCAAAAGACGGATGCTTTCACCTACCTTTTTGATGGTAAGCTTCCTGCTAGAGGCCTGGTCTCCTTCAAGTATCACACGCTTCTTGTCATCAGGACCCAGTGTAGAACCCCGCAAGACTATGAATGCCTGAAGATCCTCAATGGACATTTTCCTGGACAGAAGTCTAAGTCTGGCTACCAATTCAACGTACTTGTCCTTTGGCCATGCCGCAGTGACTAGCTCTACTTTTTGCTGTGGTAAATCAGCATGTCATCCTTGCAGGGTCGAACGTGGGCACCAAGTATGCCAGCTGGCTGCTGACATTGCTCAAGTCACCTGTCTCGCCAGTCCCAGTTCCTGCAGTTGTCCCGGGCTCTGGCATCACCTCCACTCCATGGATGCTCCTCTATGCCTCTATGGGAGCTCCGCTACCAATGAAGACTCCAAGCCGCTGATGCTTTCCCACCACAGCAGCAGTTACCAAGTCTTATGGCTACCACGGGACGAGGCCCCCAACAGTGATCCCGGTCGCTATGTAGCAAACAAATGGCTTAGAGGCACTACCAGTGCCCTCCCACCTCGGGACACCTGAGCCACAGTGCCTTGCAAAGGGATCCAAGATTAATTCACCTGACCGGGAATGCATGTTGGGATTCCTAGGATGGTATGTTGGGTCCCTGGTTGATGCATCCATGGTCGCGTATTGGAAAATCACAATATATATATATGTATATATATATGTATATATGTATGTACATTTATATGTATATATATATGTATACTTATATGTGTATACATATATGCATAATCCTATCCCCCTAATGCTTAACCGGGGTGCGCATCCCCCCTAATAATAGACACCTGTAGGAGTTTGTAGTATTAGGGAGTATTTTTTTTATTAGAGTGCAAAGCTTCCCCCTAATACTAGATTCTTAGATTTAAACCTTAGTTAAAACAAGTATGTTTCCCTTTTTCAATATCGATTAAATTCCGTTTTAAACCAGTTATATAAATTGAAAAAAGCTAAAAAAACTATTGCCGAAAATTGGATTTCGAAGGTTCCCTTAATATTCAACTAGGCACCTTAATAAAGAACAATTTTTAAAGAATCTATGTCAAAATCGATTAAATTCCTATTTTTTATATCTATTTGAAATATTGCCAAAATTGAATTTCGAAGGTTCCCGTGATAGATAATTGAAAACCTTCAAAAAATAGCCTAAATCTTTTGACTTCAAAGCGCAGACCCTAATAAAAAACAGCCCGGTGTTGACTAGTTTTTAGTATTCGTGGGTGAAACCCTCAAATGGGACCTTGTTTTTTTTGTTTAAGGGATCAGTTAGAAGCCAAATTGGCCAACTTCAAATTTGCCCAAATTTCGAATGGACATGAGTTTTTAGAATTTGGGGTACGTTTAGGAATAGTAGGAAGGGATTATATATAGTTATGTATATACAGTATATATATATATTATATATATATATGTGCATGTATATACATATATATATATATATATACACATATTATCAATCCACCTCATCTTTTCTTTTATGATCTGGGCTTATATTATCTCATCTTATCTTATTCTACCTCGTTTAATCTTATTTTAGGTTATCCGGCCTTATCTCCCCCTGTTATTTTTTATTCTTTTCTTATCTATCCTTTTGTTTTACCTATCTAATCTATCTAATCTCTCTCTATATATAGTCTCTCTAGTATATCCAATCTATCTAATCTATCAAATATATCATCTATCTGTCGACCTCTGTATTTGCCTACCTGTCTATCTGTCTATTTGTCTGTCTATCTGTCTATCTGTCTATCTCTCTATCTGTCTATCCGTCTATCTCTCTATCTATCCGCCTATCCGTCTATCTATCATTTGTCTGTTTGTCTATTTGTCTATCTGTCCTTTCTTTTTTTTCCTTTTCCTTTCCTTCCCTTTCCTTTAAATCCCATCCCATCCTATCTGTCTCATCTATCGTATTTATCCTGTCTATCGTATCTATCTTTTCTATCTTATCTATCTTATCCGTCCTACCTACCTAAACCTCTAATCCTCTCTAATCCTTTCTGATCCTTTCTGATCCCATCTAATCCCATCTAATCCGGATCAATCCTCTCTAATCATAATCCCCTCCAATCCCCTCTAATCCCCCCCTATCCTCTCTAATGCACTGTAATTCTCTCTGACCCTCTGATCCAGTCCAATCCCCTCTAATCCTCTCTGAACCCTCGCTAATCCTCTCTAATCCTTTCTAATCGTCTCGAATCTTCATGAGTCCTCTCTGATCCTTTCTAATGCTTTAAAATCCTTCCCAATCCTATCTTATCCCCTCTCACTGCCTAGCTACCTATTCATCCATCTATCTTTCTGTCTACATTGGAGTGAAACAGACTTCATCAATATGTCATCACCGTGCGTTCACCAAACAAAACTGGTGATATAACCAGCAATATAACCAATAATGGAGACTCTTCTTTTTCACCTGAAATTGGAATATGCCCATTGACTAGTGATGGTTCGGATTGCGACGGATCGGTTGATGTGGAAACCCCACAAATTCTAGACCAGCAGACCATTTTCCCACGGAAACCATGGGTTTCCCACATCCCTGCCAGTTTACCCCAGGGTATATACATACATATATATATAATGTATATATATATAGATATAGATACATGTAAATATATATATGTGTAAATGTATATATATATATATGTGTAAACATGTATATATATATGTGTGTGTGTAAACATATATATATACACATGTATCCGGATATATATATATATATGTATTATCCACACGTGTTGAGTAGGCTGCGCATGTCGGCATGGATATCACATGTACTTGGCCTTGGATGGGATGATTGGCCTTGGATAGTCAGAGGTCCCACTGCTACTATGGACTCCGGAACAGACTCCTCCGGATCACAAAAAGGAAGTGCCTTGGACGAAGAAAGGCGGTGTAGAAAGCCAGGATGATGTCAACTAGAAAATTGATGAATAGAGTGGTGTTATGGATGTATCATGTGGCTTTCCATGGGGGCACCCCAAAATAGATGGTTTATAATAGAAAATCTCATGAAAATGGATGATTTGGGGGTACCCCTATTTTAGGAACCCCCATGTCTTCGAATAGGGAAAACCCCACCATTTCTACCAGGGAAACCCTGTGGTTGGAGCAACAGTTTGAGAGGCTGACAGCAGCCCTTTGGCTGGGCCAGCACTTCGCTGATCCATTTCATGTCAAACCCATGGCTTTTCCAACAGTTTTTTTTACAATAAGTATTATGGGTATGATGGAAAACCCTGTTATGCACATATATAACTATATGTTTATGGCTTTTCACATAATAAGTATGATGATATATCATTGTCTCACGTTACTCGCCCCGGTGATCAAATAGCGAGTAGGTATTCCCGTTGTCCAATCACCCATTTTGCATCGTTGTTGTTCTTTATATATTCCGCATTATATTGGTGATATTGGTATGGATAAATTCCTCAATGGGTTTGTTTGAGCAGAATGAGGGTATAAGAAATTTAATGGTTGACAGCTAGCCCATGGTTTAAATCTCTATTTTGACTTTACATTATATGGAGGTTTCCATAAATGGTGGTACCCCAGAATGGTTGATTTACAATGGAAAATCTTTTTAAAAATGGATGATTTAGGGGTACCCCTATTTTAGGAAACCTCCATATGGGTTTTTACACCTACCATTGATCGTGGGGATTTATCCGTTCCCCTTCCTATCAAGCACCCCCGAGAAGCCATGGTTTAAGTTTAGTAGGGGATTTACACGCATTTGGACAAAAATCGGTATTGAATATGGACGTCTCCTAAAATAGGGGTACCCCCAAATCATCCGTTCATAGATGGATTTTCCCTTATGAATCATCCAGCTATTGGGGTACCCCCATTGTAGGAAACTTCTATATTAGGAGGATGGAATTCATCTTTATAAGCCAAGCCCGACCTCACTGTGATGCCACAACGATCGCTACTTCGGGGTAACCATCCCCAAACTCTATGCCTTGCTAGAAAAATCATCCGGAAAGTTCGAAGATTTCCCAGCCGTGGAGCTGATACCATGATAACCCCATTGAAATCCCTCTTTGTTGACGGATGAAATCCTATGATGTTCCGAATATTCCCATGAATTCCCATAAAATCCGTGAATTTCTTTGGATTCAATCCTCATTTTTTTTAAAGTGGGAAACCCAATCCCATAAACATACCATGACTGGGGAATTTGGGAATGGTAAACATACCACCCATATACATAGTGATGACTTGGGGATGGTTTCTGGCATTGGGTAATAGAACTCAACTATCTATCTGTCTAATCTATCCATGTTAAGAAACCACCAGTTGTTACCCTCCTCTAAAACGTTTATATACATAGATGTGGAAAATCCGCCAGTTGTAGATCATTTTCTGACCGAAACCAGTGGTTTTCTACATCTATGCAAACGTTTACCCTAGGATACATTATCTATAATAACCCACCAACATGATATTTATTACATATAATCACTGGCCATCTCAAGAACCTAAATTGGAGGTACCTACCATATATAAGGCCTATGTAAGGCCTATGTAAGGGAACACCCCCACAAAATATAGCCTTATATGGTACAGTACCTCCATTTCAGCATCCTGAAATTCCCATTGATATAAGCCCATAAAATTGTATGCTATCCCATGACATCGCTATCTTTTTTTTGAACTCCTGTGGGACCCCAACCATGTTTTAGGTGCCAAACTCGATCCCAGCAGTTCTGCCTCCACGGGCGTTTCGTCAAAGGCATTCCGAATCGGCCGCTTGGCCGTGGTTTTTAGTTATTCTTTTGCTAGATTTTCATGGATTTGAGTCAATGTTCATGGATTTCACTTGATTCTTTTTGAGTTTATTGGATTTTTTCCATGGTTTCTACTGGAGTTTTATAGATATTTAAAGCATGACACATGGAAATATGGTCCAAAACTTTGCTGATTTTTCTCAGGAGTTATACTTCGCACCCTTTATTATACATTGGGGATTCTCACAATCCATGCATTGGGAGTCCTTATTAAACAACCATCCAATAGGTTTTTGGCACTGCTCACGTGGATATGAGTGAACTGATTTTGAGGTACACGCCTGAGATTTAAGATA